GGTGGGCATGGACAGGCCTCGCGTGGGCCGGCGGTCCGTGTCCGGCGCGGGCTGGTCCTGGTCAGCAGCTAACGCCGTGTGCCCTCTCTGGTAGACACACTACTTCGGCCTGTGGTTTCTCAGCAAGAGCCAGCAGGCGCGGTGGGTGGAGCTGGAGAAGCCGCTGAAGAAACATCTGGACAAATTCGCTAACGAGCCTCTGCTTTTCTTCGGCGTCATGTTCTACGTCCCAAACGTGTCCTGGCTTCAGCAGGAGGCCACCAGGTAGGTGCCTGGTTCTAGGAGGAGGGGCCTGGGGGCTTCAGAGGGAGCAGAAGAGCCTGCATCTGCGCAGCTGCACCGAGGGGTCCCCCCGATGCTGGACTCGGTAGGGGTGATCCCCAGTTGGAAGAGTTGTGTCGCGTCTCGAATGCAATCAGGCCCGCTCGCGGGCCTGCCCAGCCGTCCCTGCACGAGTCCCCAGACAAGAGGCACCGTAACACGTGGGCCCTGAGGGCTGGCAGGTGACTAGGGGTGGCTGTGGTGTGGGGGACGGCGCTGACAGGGCCGGGGTTTGAGCTGTTGGACGGGAGGCTCTGGAGGCTCTGCCTTGGAGAAGTCTCGTGAGGTCTTCGCAGTGACCCCATCATCAGGGCCGGCGAGAGCCCCAACAGCGTGTCTGCTGGTAACAGGTGCGTGCGTTGTGCGGCTGTTTGGATCATCACAGGCAGCGGGTGTGTGCAGTAGGCGCGGGCTGCGTGTGGAGTGGGGGCGGGGTGGGGTGGGCGGGGGCTGTGCGAACCCTCCACCTTGCGCCTTTTATTCGGGTCCCGGCTTCAGAGTCCTTGGGGAGCCCGACCCCGTGACATGCTAGGAAGGAGCCAAGTTCGACCCCATTCGCACACCTGGAGTTTTCAGGCTTTATTTTACTTTAAATTTTTTTTTACAGAATTATTTACGTATACAGAACTGGGGTACAGGCCAGAGGCAGTGAGAAGATTGACCAGAGACAGAGCGGGGAGCAGAACAGGCTGCCGGATGAAGTCCACTGCTGAGGGGAGCAGGGGGCGGGTCAGGAGGGGTCTGCTGTGCCCTGTGGGTCACCTCCGGGGCAGCTGGGGATCGAACTCGCACTGAGGCGGCCATGGCCAGCTTGCAGAGCTGAGTCCTAAACTCTGGTGCCACCAGGGAGGGCCTGTTTTATTTTATTGCATTGGCGGTGCAGTGGGTTAAAGCACTGCAGTATGAAGCTCTCTGAAGCCACTACAGCACAAGTTCGATCCCCTGCCAGGGAGGTCACTGGGGTACAGGCCAGAGATGGGGGTCTGAGAAGACTCACCAGAGATAAAGCGGGGAGCAGAACAGGCAGATGGAGTGAAATATACTGCCGAGGGGAGCAGTGGGGAGACAGGAGGGCCCTGCCGTTTCAGCGAGTCACTTCCCCGGGCGGGGAATCAGACGGGGCTGCAGTGGCTTCAGATCGCTCCCCAGTGCTGCTCTTCAACCCGCTGTGCCCCCAGGGAGGGCCGGGTTTTCAGCTTCTAAATTGTCGGCGTAAGCGTGTCCTTCGGTCTTTCACACACAACTTGCATCGTCCTCCGTCAGAATCTCTCACTAATACCTAGTGCTTCTGCGCACACGCTGCCAGCTGCTGCTTCTTGGAAGCACACAGTTGTAGATCCTCACATGCTCTTTGCAAGTTTCTTCACTCACCTGAGTCCTTTCTCTGCAAGACGCGATGAGCCCCTTAAGGCGGGCCTCAGTCAGCACCGCACGGGTGACCTGCGTGAAGGTGTTGACGGCCCGGTCGGTCTGTGAGGGCTCGGGCCTGGCAGGCTGCTGTGGAGGCGGGGAGGGCCTCGGCTCAAGCCGTGGCCTCGGGTGATGAAGGCTTGTTTGTGGGGGTGCGGGGCCCTGGTGGGCTTGGGGCAGGAACTTAGGGCCAGTAATAAGAGGACTTTAAGGAGCTGCCTCCATGCAGGGACACACTTTTCATTCCAAAGCCATGTCCCCGCGGGCCTGGCCGGCGGGCTGAGCATCAGCACAGACTGCATGACCAGACCCCTGGAGAAAAGCCCTCCCCCCCGCCACGAGAGTGGGGTGTCCGCTGGAACAGGGTCTGCTGTGTTGGCATCACTGGAGTGTTTATCGGGAATGCACACTCCTGGGCTGCCAGAGGGTTGGTGTGTCCACAGGGCCGGAAGCCAAGTTGGCAACAGTAAGCATTTCCCTGACGGGTTCCGACTCAGGACTTGCACATCAGTGAAGTCCTTTGACCTCTAAAACGAATATCCATTTCCCAGGTAAATAAACTTAAGGCTGTGTTGTTTGACTGTGTCTATTTGCACGTATAAGCTGAAGCCGAAAGTATTTAAGTCTCTGGCCTGCACCCCAGTTCTTGTATGCATAAATACATAAATCTTTAGAAGAAAAATTTCCCTCCTTTAGCTTGGTTTATGCAAACGAACGAGGTGGATTGAAGTGTTTTCCAACATGACAACTAAGTTGATTGGTAAATAAACTTAGGGCTGTGTTGTTTGACTGTGTATTTGCATGTGTAAGCTGAAACGGAAAGGGTGTGATCCGTTGATCAGAAAACTAATCAGTAGTTTGGAGCTTGAAAAACATTTCATTTGATTTTTTAAATATTTTTTGAAGATTTATTTATTGATGCATACAGAACCGGGGTACCAGCCAGAGAGGCAGGGGCGGTGAGAGGACGCACCAGAGACAGAGAGGGGAGCAGAACAGGCGGATCGATGAAGTCCACTGCTGAGGGGAGCAGCGGGGAGACAGGAGGGGTCTGTTGCACCCTGGGGGTCCCCTCCGGGGCCGGGGATCGAACTCGTGCTGAAGCGGCTTTTGCTTCTTAGTGCTGGGCTTTAACCCGCTGCACCACTAGTGAGGTCCCTAAATTTTATTATTTTCTAAGATCTTTATTTATTCATACAAGAACTGGGGTGCAGCCCAGAGGTGCAGGGAGGTGAGAGGACTCCCCCGAGACAGAACGGGGAACAGAACAGGCAGATGAATGAAGTCCACTGCTGAGGGGAGCAGCGGGGAGACAGGAGGGGTCTGCTGTGCCCTGTGGGTCGCTCCCTGGCCGGGGATCGAACTCGTGCTGCAGTGGCTGCAGATATCTTGATAGCACTGAGACTTAACCCTTTCTGCCACCAGGGAGGCCCCTGAAAGACATTTTAGACTTAAAGTGGCACCTGAAAAAAATGAGGTAAAACCTGAAGTTAGCAGGGGCCCTCCCTGGTGGCACAGCAGGTTAAACCACAGCACTAAGAAGCTAAAGCCACTGCAGCCCGAGTTCGATCCCCGCCCCGGAGGTGACCCACAGGGCGCGGCAGACCCCTCCTGACCCGCCCGCTGCTCCCCTCAGCAGTGGACTTCATCAGTCTGCCTATTCTGCTCCCCACTGTGTCTCTGGCGAATCCTCTCACCGCCCCTGCACCTCTGGCCATGGAATGAGGGGAATCGGGGCTTTATTGAGGAGCTGTGCTTTTTGCCACCTTAAGTGTATTTTGCACGACGAGGGGACCCTTGGGCCCACCCTAGGTGGTGATCAAAGGCAAAGGTCAAAGAACAGCACCCCGGAGTCCCACAGGCGATGTCTGCATGTTCGTATAGAGCGTGCAGAACGCTGAGCCGAGGCATGCCGGGTCTGGGCAGCCGAGGGCTCATCTGGACTCTGCTGGCCACCCCCGGGAGTCTCCCAAGCCTCACTTCTCAGCCTCTGGCTGAAAGGCCGCTGGAGTGCGGCCACCCTCCTTTCTTCCGTCGCCTCAGCCAGCCTCTTCCTGCGGCTCTTCTGTCCCACATGGGCTCCCCGTGTGCCTCTGATCCCCTGTGCCCCCCCTCCTCCACAGGGAGGATGTTGGTGATGTGTTTGAGCGATTTGATTTGCATAGCAACGGGCTCACCACAGACGCACGGTTTTCAGATTTTCTGGACACAGAGAAAAAGTGTCTTGCAAGTGGTGGGCAAAGTCTTTATCCAGGGAAGAGGCTTGCTAGCAGCAGGGGAGGCCAGAGCTCTGCCTGTCTGGGCCCCTGATGGCGGGGGGGAGGAGGTCACATCTGGCGTCTCTAGGTCTTTCTAGAGGAAGAAGGACCCCGGGTACTAAGGAGAAGGCTTTGGAGAGAAAAGGCCATTTTCAAGGACAGTCTCTTCGATAAATGGGAAGCTGGACGGCACCTGCCAGGAGTGGACACTCCCTCCCAAGAACCCTCCCGGGTCCACTCCAGAGCCTCTTCAAAGAGGAAGTGTCCATGGCCGACAGGAATGTGCAGAAATGCTCCCCATCGCTGATGATCGGGGAAATGCAAAACAAAACCACAATGAGATACCGCCTCACACCACTAAGGATGACGACAAATGCCAGCGAGGATGTGAAGAAAACAGAACCCTCTTACCCTACGGGCGGGCATGCGAAGCGGTCCAGCCACTGTGGAAAGCCAGGTGACCGGAACACGGAGCATGGAGCTACCTCGGAACTATCCTATACATGGAGTTACCCTACTCCTAGGATCTCCCCAACGACACCTGCAGCCCTCAGACAAAGCCCACTGCTGAGGGGAGCAGCGGGCGGCTCAGGAGAGGTCTGCGGCGCCCTGTGGGTCGCCTCCGGGGCAGGCGGGGATCGAACTCGTGCAGAAGTGGCTTTAGCTTCTTGGTGCTGAGCTCCAGCCCGCTGCGCCCCCAGGCAGGGCCTCCAGCCTCTTTTACAAGCTCCGATTAGGCTGCTGTTCCCTCGGCTTCTTCACACTGTGTCTGTTCTCCTGGTCTTGTATTCCTTTCAACTGCCATTTTCGTGGCTAGTCTAAGCTCCCCCGCAGGCTGTCTCCGCGCAAGGCTGACTCCATGCCGGGGGTCCCTGGGTGATGCAGCTGCTGCGAGACACCCGACCCCCAGCTCCCCAGCTCCCGTGCAGACCTGGAGCCTGTTCCCTCTGGGGAAGGCGACTCCGCACTGAGACAGCTCAGGAAGCCGCTGGCCCGCATCTCCCACGTTGCCCCTGGCGTGGGAGACTGAGGAGGAGGCCGAAGTCCAGACGGAACCTGGAAGGCAGCTGGCCAGGACTTGGTCGAGGTCAAGGGCTGAACCTGGTGCCCGGGACGCCTTCCTTTCTCATGTCTGTGGCCCCTTCTCGCCACGCGCCCCCCTTCACTCTGGGCTGGGGGCACACCTGACTCCTTGGGGGATGGGTGTGACACAGGAGAAGTGAATGAAACCCTGCAGGGGACAGGAACGCGGTTTTCACCTCCGCGACGCTGAAG